CGTGGGCCGCCCCCCGCTGCCGCTGCCCGGCTGCTACCGGCTCGGCCCGGCCGCCCTGCGCATGCGCATGATTCGCGCGGCCTCCTGGGGATCGTAGTTTTACCTCCGCCGCAGCGGGAGGGGAGGGCGGGGCTGAGGGGAGACTACAGCTTCCAGCGGCCCCGGGGCGGACACGTTGGCACTACCCCGTCGCGTCTCTCGCGTTGTGGCTGGTGCCTGAGGTACCGCGGGTGCTTTCCTTGGGCTTGTCCTCGGGCTGCGTCGCGGGAGCAGCCGGGCGCCCCAGGCCTGTTTGCGCTGCGGTGTGCAGGCCCCTCACAGCCCGGCCCGCGGCACCGTGAACAGCGCGCCGGCGCGGCACCGCATGTGCCTGGGCGCGGGCTGCGTCCTCCTCGCTTCTAGCCGCGGGCAGCTGGGGGCTGGCGTCTGCTCCGCGTGGCGCGGCCGCAGTCTCCACAGCCTCGACCGGCTGCCGCGAAGAGGCGCGAAAGGGAAAGCGCCACTTATGTGTGTGTCTGTCTCGCCGCGCAGACCCAGGCCGGTCCCTGCATCCTCGCGGGCTTAGTTGGGGCTTCCCGAGCGGTTGCTGCGCTGTGAGAGCAGCGCGGGGTGGCGCAGGCCGCCCGGGGAAGCTGTGCATCCTCCACCAATGAGGTGTTCAAGAAGACGATGGGCAGCCACTGGCCAGGGATGATTCAGGTCCAGCTCTGCCTACTTTAGTATTTCCCGTGTTTCTAGCCTCTGCTGGTTGCCCTTTTCATCCTCCGCCCTTTTCTGCTACAGGTGTCAGGGTCGGTTTAAGTTTCCCTCAGAGGCAGCGGGCATTGACTGCAGCCAAGGCTGGGGGCTTTGCCTGGAATGTGCCAGTGCTTCTCCTGGGGCCAAAGCCACGGGGTTCTGGCGAGAGGGTCCGGCCCCTCTGCCCAGGGTCAGACTGATGGCCACGCAGTCATATCTGGGGCAGTTGGCCCAGGCCTGATTGGTGCAGGTTGTGGGGGTTTTTGCCTTCCTGTAGCCAGGCGTGGTCCTCTACCTGGGATCTTTTGAGCGTTTACTGACAACATTTCATGGAAGCAGGAGGTTGGCTGCTATGGTTCGCCTGCTTTACCTGCGGCAGGTTAGGGTGTTATGTCTGTGTTGTGTTAGTGTTGATGGGACGCTTACGTACAGTTTAGATTATGGATTGAGTAGGATGGTTTGCATAGGGATGATCCTAGCTCAGGCTGGGGGTTGGATTAACTGACCTTGAGCTTTGTAGCCCCGCTTCTCTCTGAGTCTATGATTGTAACCCTAGAAAAAGCAGAAGGGGGCTCAGAAGGCAGCACTGCCCCTTGAACTACTTCATCCATTTTTTCCCAATTTAGCCCCTTCCGGATGGCAGCTTTAAGTGGCCCCAGATCTGTACAGTGTGTTATTAATCCCTCATGGCCTGTTATCACACATCTATTTTACTGAGTTTATCACATTTATAGCAAAAGGACCATAGTTTACTACTTCCTTCTTTAACATGTTTATCTCCCCTCCAGGGTATGTGATTGTCTACTCAGTACACGAAGCATTTTGTTTTCTTTTCCTTTAATAAAGTCTCTGACACTTGTGTTATGCCGGCTGAACTGTTTGCTTCTCTGTAACAGCAGCTAATCAGTAAACAAGTACGTGGGTTCCAAATGCTGACTTCTGGAGTGCCTGTGTATTGCTGAAAGGGAGGCAAACCTTTGGCCCACCCCTAAACTAGTGCAGCACAAGGGGCATTGTCCTATAATCTTACACAAAACAAATCCTAATTTTACTGTACCCATTTTGTCTGGTCAGACAAGGGACAACACCTGTGTTAATTAGAGGTGCACCCGTGTATAGGTCCATATTGGATCAACACTGATAAAAGGAAAATTGACATTGTTGGGAGTTGGCTTTTTTAGCCAGTATAGCCGATAATGTCACCTATCGCCTTCCTGTAGTGGGGCATGGTCCTCTACCTGGGATCTTTTGAGCATTTTCTGACATGCAGCTGCAGCATGCATGTGGTCAGGAATGCAGCTTGGTGCTTGGAGACCAGCATCTGGCTGTATGTCTGTGAGTGGGAAGGTGGGGGGCAGAGCAAGGCCCCCATGGTGAGGGAGGGAGTGAGGCAG